TGATTTCCTTTTTCCAATATCATACTAATTTATTTTAATAATTTGTGTAATTATTGGTTCAAATTATAGTTTTCACTTTCCCATACTCATTTATTTTTAATAATTTTCAATCATTTACAATGAAAATTACATAATTTTTCATTAGTTTTCCAAAATCTACCAAATGTAATAAAATTTTCTAAAATTTCCAAAATATTCCAATAATTTTCAATAATGATTTAATATGTTTTAAATAAAATTTCAAAGTTTTTCCAAAAGTACAATATTATATCTTTTAATTTCCAAAATGTTATTTTATGAAAATGTAGTTTTATGAAAATTTTTGAAAAAATTATTACATTTGTGTAATTATGGAGATTTTTTGAAACTTATTTTAAATTTTTATTAAGTAGTTTACTAGAAAAATTACACTAATTTATCTTTTATTTGCTTATTAAATATAATAATAGCAATAACTAAAATTTTATACTTTTTGATAATTGTTAAATATAATTCTCAATTTTATAGAAATTAGTTAAAGAGTTTTTCGATTTCTATAAAATGTTGTTAATTAACGTGAATATAACACTGTTTATCCAAAATACTTTAAAAATCATGATGAGTTAATTAATAATAATATTTATTAATTTTTGGTAATTTACTAATCGTATTTATAAACTTTTGGTAATAACTTATTTAATACTCATTGAATATGGATTGGACTAAATATTAACCGTATTTAACTATTTATTAATTAATATGAATATTTTAAATAAGAGGGTGGATATAGATTGGGGGGAGAGATTTTAAGATTTGATTGGGGAGTGGGCAGTAGTGATGGACATAGATCAAGATTTTCATGAGTTATTCAAGCTTGACTTGTGAAAAAGCTTGATTCAACTTGATTTAAGCCAAGATTTGAGTTCAGTTCAAACTCAATATATAGGCTCATTTGCTAATTAAGTGAATCTCGATCCCAATGAAGCTTGGCTTGTAAGCCTAATTGGGTAGTTCCACGCTCTAAATTTTCATGAAAAAACTAAAAGAATCTTATAATTGTCAATTAGTTAGTTATAATTTCCATGACATTCAAGCTCCATGGAGAGAAGGGATTACTTATTTCATACATTCCAAAGGGTTCATGATTATTATGTGTAAAAAACATAATTATTATGTTTTTGAAGAAATGCCTTTAAAATAAAAAAATTCTTGACAGACATGGATACATGTACAAATAAATAAATAGATAAATACATATACATAACTTCTCATTGCGAAAAAATACATAAGTATAAGATATATACATTTATGGATGCATAGTTGCATATGCATACATGTATGATGGTGAATCATACACAAGTACTTACATGCATAAATACATACTTATATAATATTTATACATGCAAATATGAAGTTAAATTGAGTTTGGGTTGGGTTGTGTTGGCAAGGCCTTAAACCTAACCCAACCCAAAATTAAGTCAGGTTCATACTTTTCAACCTCAACCCTAACTTGAACTTCAACCAAACCCTAGTTTTTCAGGCTGAGATCGACTAACCCAACCCAAGTTGCAGCCCTATCTAAAATGTTCACATAGACTAAAATCAAACAAAATAATATTATGTTATAACTAAAAAAAATAAAATGCATGAATTAAATAAAAAAAATTAATGGCCTGATTAATTATTTAGCCCCAAACTTTATTCTAGATGGATGGTCAGCCATCTTAAATTTCATTCTCATATCCACCAAAAAAAAAAAAAAGCACCTATTTACTTTCTACTAAGATATGTTAAAAATTGGGATTCGACTATGATATGATATCTGAAAAACTTCTGACCTTGTTAATTGGAATCACAAACGTGATAGTCAATCGGGTATTATTTATCAAAATTCATGGCTGGATTTTAATTGGTTAAAATTCTTCCCATACCATATCTTTTACATATCATATATTTTCCCTTTGTTATTTTGTCATTTATGAATAATTAAGAAGGTTGATTGTTTATGCCCAAATATTTTTTATCCACTAAAAAGCAAAATGTTAAGTCATTCATTCAATCCTTAAACGAGGCAGTCAAAAATTAAAAGCGACAAAAGGCAGATTTCTCCAAAACAAAGTCAAACCAAAATAGGACACCCAATTGCTATACTAGGATTTCAAAAATAGTCGAGTGGAAGAATTGTTGACATATAGTGGTATCGAGGTTGAGAGCAACAGCAAGATAATTGTTGACATTTTGTTGGTCGAAACTTTGTTTACATTTTACGCTGTATCAAGGGTATTGTGCAGTGAATGAATATCAACTTACTGTAGGACTGTAGAATATTTCGAATATATATATGGTCATCTTAGCTTTGCTCTTGGTACAAATTCCTTTTTTTTTTCTTTTGAGACTTTTTTCAAAAAGAAAAAACATTAATTTGTCTTTTACTTGATATCTCCTTACAATAAAACAAATGAGGTATGAACATTATTCAAATTTAGAGAGTCAAAAAGTACTTTGGTCGCCAAATGCCAAATTAGTACTTTAATCAAATACTTGTATTTTTAATATTAAATTACTGGAAAGCTATGATAATGCAAATGATTTAGGTGTAAATTCTGATTTATTTTTATTTCAAAACTTACCTTATTTTATTTGATTACAGTGTAAATGAAATAAAATAATATCCAAAATAGAAAAAAAGTAAAACCCAAAATAAAAATATACCAAAATTTGTATTTTTTTCTTTTATACTAATGCAAATAAGATTATATTGCAACCAAATCCAACCATTATGATTCTTGTTTGAACAGCTACAGCCCAGAAAAACCCATTCTATCCAAATATTTCCTTTATCATTCATTCATGAGAGATGTTCCCAATAGACGGTGATGGTAATCTGTGGACAGTGAATATCAACCCTTTCAACCACCAAGGAGAGGAAGAAAGAGTACCCATCGAAGGGATGAACACATCTGATCAATGATCGCCTGGTCCCAGTGCACGTGCACAAACAGTTTGATGGATCGTTATGGCACCGTTGAGCCCATCATCAATAATACAGCTTTGGACTTGTTTGGTTGCTAATAATCAATCCATGAATCCCGTCCCGTGTGGGTGTAACTGTAAGCCAAGCCAAATTACTGGTGGGCTCTCAACTCTCAACATCACCAAAATAACCGCTGGGCATCACATTTTAGGCTCTGTTTGTATACTGTGTACGGTTTCATTACCAACTTCTCTCCTCTCTCGTCACACGGAGACGGGAGACATCAGACACGGACAAACAACTACTTCATGTCTTCCTCCCATCAAACAAGCCTCCCACTCTTCCCAAACACCAACAGTATCCAGATCCAGTTTTACTTCCCTCCGTTGGATCTACATTCCTTAAAGAACTAGCCACGTGGCAACATGCGGTGGCCTGAATGACTGGTGGTGTTGACCGCTTCGGCGAAGGAGTCTGATTCTCTCTGCATGTGAGAGGTCCGTCCATCCCGTCCCTGACAACCACTTGGTTGAAATTAAGTTTTGCTGGGGGACTTCACATCTGGTGATTGTCAGATGTTGTCTCACGTGAGGCGCCTCAGCGGATCGTCACACATGATACATGCACGGGCAGGGGCAGAGCATTGACCTTCCACGTGTCACCCAGGCCACGTGCCTACCCGTGGCGAGCATGTTTAACTGGTGACGTGTCGGAAATCAATTGGAAAAAGAGGAGACCCAAGAAATGATTTTTGCCGGCGAAAAAGGTTATTAAGAAGGGTTGATTGTTCATTGTGCTTGCTGAGATGGACCACAAAAAAGCCAAAAATGAAAAGCCTTTTCACTCCTTTTAAGCCTCGGCTTAAAGTTAAAACAAGGTTAACAGCGAAGGTTTTACCGGCAAAACATGGTAGGGCTTCGGCAGCGGGTCCCGCTGTCGTGGCAGCATCCCGCAAAATCTGCGGCTAAAAAGCCGATACCCCACACAAATTTTTATTATATTTTATTTTTTCTAAAATAATCCTTTTTTTCTTCCGTCGCTTTCATCATGCCAATGCATGCATGCAGCATTTGCATCCGGAGGGAGTCCCTATAGAATACAGATTCCTATATGCGCCGCGTTCATCACAACCGTCCATCTAAAGCAGGGCCCTGCTGTCCGACGATGCATGCATGTGCATGGGTAAGGGCGTGCGAGAGAGGCAGAGGCAGTTTAATGATGGCTACTGAACTCTGTCGCTTCACTACAGTCTACACTCTACAGTGTTTGGAATTAAAAAATAAGTAAAAAAGTAAAACAAAGGAAACAATTAAGTGGGAAAAAGTAGAAAAGCAATGATAAAGATGGATGGGAAATGGAGGGGTTAGGGGTCCTAATCCCAACCCGGCAATCCAACTTAAAATGCCGCTTTCTTGTCCCCCTCACATCTCATCCCCTGTTTTCCTCTGTCCCCCAACTCACTCTCACCCAATTAATGCTCCTTACGTGACTTACACCCACTGCTCGCTGCACCTCTATTTCCTCTTCTACCCTTCCTCTTTTCCTGTTTTTTCAACCTAAACCCCTTCCCCCCCCCCCCCATCTTTCCAGGCTTCCAGCTATCAGACTGTGCTCGGATAAGGGCATTCTGGTGATTCTACCAAGCCAAATCAAACATAGAGTCTCCACCGTTAACCAGAGTGGATGGACTATTGGTTATTGGAGTGGTTGAGTTTGTAAATTTGGCCAGACAATTCCTCTCTTTCTCTAAGGCCATTTGTTATCGGAGTCGTTGTATACTTGTATTGTATTAGCAGAAAAGTAAAGGGTGTATTTGTCATTTGGCACCCAACAAGCCTCGCACTGTAGACCATACCATTTCCTCTTCCAGCCTCACCACTCGTGAGAACCGTCCAGAAATTTTTATTTCTAATTGAACTGGAAGATCAACGGTCTGGATGCAAGTGATGGAGAACTGCAGCTGTTGGTTTGTTTCCCTCGGAACATTGATAAATGGGGGTATAATAATGGCAACTGCCCGAATTTCAGACAAAAATTTTCTGCGAGAAAAAAAAAAGGCTGGTTTTCTGTTTTCATTTTATTTATTTATTTTATTTTTGTTTCTGGTTTTATTTTCTGTTTTGAGTTTTACAGAGAACAGCCTAGGAAGAAGCTTTTGTTGCTTTCTGCTAGATGGAGGGGCCTTAGCTCTGCTTCTTTTCTGCCTCCGTTTTCGTCTCTCGTGTATTTTCTGTGAATCGAAAGCTTAATTCATCCTCGTCTCTGCAAGACTGCAACTGTGATCCACACGAAATCCGTGTAAGTGTCTGAATCTTCAGTGTCCGGCTCATATTTTCTTTTTTAAGTTTTTCCGCTTCTATTTTGAGCTTGTTCTGGTTGAGTTCGAGTAATCCATGGTATGTTTGGTCCTTTGCGGTTTGTATTTTTTCTTCTCCGAGACTGTTTGGTTTTTGTGATTTCTTGTCTGCCAGTGTCATTGTGGATGTGGAAAAACTGGTTTTCGGTTTTTTTTTTCTTGCTTTTTCTCCGTTTTAATATAAATATAGTTTGAGTTCATATTGATCCCTTAATTGTATGTCTTTTCCAGCTTCATTAGTAGTATTTCTACGATCATCTTTCCTCATTTGAGGTGGAACCGCTAATTGGTTAGTCTTCCGACCTGCTGTTCTTCAGATATTTTATCTCCCACTCGTCCCCGCAGTGCTACCATTTCTCTATGAACGTACCATTTCTCTCTTGTGATGGTGGCGTACAAAGATCTTTCTATTCTATAAATTTCTTAATCTTTCAATCTCTTAAATCTGCATTGCTCTCTCTCTCTCTCTCTCTCTCTCTCTCTCTGTGGGTGGAGTTAAAAACTTGTATAGCATTACTTCTCTCTGCCTCTCTGGCGGTTTTATTCTTTGTGATCTCTTGTTCTCCAAGCTGAGCATATTAGAGAGCTTAACTTTCTCGGGGTGGCCGGAACCTCATCAGTTTCCTCCACACATGTGCAGGGGTTCATCAAGTTTATATTCGTCAGTATTTAAGCTTTACTCTGTCTCTAAATTCCGTTTAAATCCTCAACCTTTAGGATTCTTCTCGAGTTTTAATTCTAACTACATATTTACGTGCTTATTTATAATTTATAATGCTAGTGATGTTTTCCTGACAATTGGCTTATAAAGAAGTGGGATCTTTCAGCATCTGTGATTGGTTTTTATCGGCCTCCGCAGTCGTAGTATCTTATTATTCGACTTGATGTTAGGTCTCATTTTCAGTTTTGAAATGACTAGATTTTTGGCTTTCTCGAATAGCAGGAATGCAACTTTTCTGAGAATTTTAAGTTTTATCTAAAGGTGGATGGTTTGAATGCCAGCAGGTTGGGAGGAAAACTTTTAAGTTCTGGAAACCTAATGTCTCCACCACTGCTCGGTGTTGGGGAGGGACAGAGCAATGTCTCAGTTGTTTCATCGCCCTCTGTTGATGGTAGCTGCCAGAATGGCTCAGGATTGAAAGAGCGTAATTACATGGGATTATCTGACTGTTCTTCGGTGGACAGTTCTGCAATCTCTGGCTTAGCTGAAGAAAATAAAAGCAGTCTGAATCTGAAAGCCACAGAGCTTCGACTTGGGCTTCCTGGATCTCAATCTCCTGAAAGGGATCCTGAACTGTGCCTTCTGAACCCTGGAAAACTCGATGAGAAGCCCTTGTTTCCTCTACTCCCTTCAAAGGATGGTATCTACTCATCTTCACAGAAAGCTGTTGTCACAGGCAACAAAAGGGGTTTCTCGGATGCCATGGACAACTTCTCGGAGGTGAAAAGTGCTGTGTTTACAGAAGGGAATTGGATGTTTCCCACTGTTGGATCTGATTCAGAAACTTCTCAATCCAAGCCCCAAGGGAAATTTCATGTTAGCCCTGGGGTAAATGCAATTCTACCAGTGAGGCCTTCACTGAATTCAGGAGTAAAATCTGCTTCCGCGAAAGAACACTCTGGAACTCAGCCTGGCATGAAGAAAGATATTGTGCCCCTGAAGCCTCGTGCTTCCAATGAGACCGGTCATAACACGATAGGTGCTAGTAACAACAATACCAGTGCACCTGCTGCTAAGTAAGTAAATTACTTGAAGAGGGGTTTCATGAAATGGTTTTGAGTTTACCATGGGAACAGTCACTGATCTTCCATTCACGGCAGGGCACAGGTTGTGGGTTGGCCACCAATTAGATCATTCAGGAAGAACACACTGGCTACCACTTCAAAGAACAATGATGAAGTCGATGGGAAACCAGGTCCAGGTGCACTCTTTGTCAAGGTCAGCATGGATGGTGCTCCATATCTTAGGAAGGTGGATCTTAGAACTTACTCTGCTTATCAGGAGCTGTCTTCTGCTCTTGAGAAGATGTTCAGCTGTTTTACCATAGGTGAGCTAGTTCAGAGTCTTAATCTTGTGTAGTTTCTTTCATTTGAATTGTGGCCATGTAGATGTATGCTCAGACAGTTTGTTTAAGAGACAAATATGTTAGTATAGATCCAGTTACTGCAGTCTTTGCATGATTTCAGGTCAATGTGGCTCCCATGGAGCACCAGGGAGGGAAATGCTGAGTGAGAGTAAGCTGAGGGACCTTCTACATGGATCAGAATATGTTCTTACCTACGAGGACAAGGATGGTGACTGGATGCTTGTGGGAGATGTTCCCTGGGAGTAAGCAGTAATCCAACCTAATCTTTTTAATTTACCTCCATAGAACCAATATAAATTATGGACACCGACTGATCATCAAATAAAAAAAAAAAATTATTTAGACTCTCCCTGTCATCCTGCAAACATACTATTTACGTATCTATGGGGGAATCATTTATGATTATTTGCAGTCGATATGTTGGTTATTTTTTAGCAGTATTTAAAATGCATTTCTAGAGGTTATTACAGAAGAGGAGAAATTTGCATTTTTATTATTAACTGTACATGCATGCACGGAAAAAAGTAGTACTACAGGCAGATAATTCCATAATCCACATAAGTTACTTGCAATACCTAGATTTCGTCCATAAATCAAGGTGGATCTTGATGCCTTGTATTTTACCATAACAATGGCATTTATAAATAGTGTATATGATTTATAGGAAGTATATATGTGTATCTTATACACATATATGCATGTTGGGGGATGTATTGGGTTGGAGCTGTAGCTCTATCATGATCAACCAGACCTATTTGGTTGTTTCATGGTGCCTATCAAATTATGTTATTGTACCAATATTTACAAAATTTTATTCTTTCCAGGAAAAAAGGAAAATGTGCTTGCTACATTCTACTGACATTTGTACTTCCAATAAAATTTAGAATTTTTTTCTCTTATGCTGACACTGACTCCCATCTGTTACTGGTACATTGGATGGGGCGCGGACCATGTGGTGTATTGGGTGTTTTGAGCACATGGACCTCTTTTTTATTTACATGTTTTTTCCAAAACCTGACCAGAGGGGTCAGTCTTAGGCTTCTCTACCTGCTGAAAGAGGTCAAAATACGAAAGCCTCAATATTTGGTGTATCAGTGACCCACCAATATGATACTTATCGGCTGATATGTGCCAGTATGTGATGAAATTTTGAACCTTGGCTGAGACACGGAAGATTTATACAAGTTTGCTTTGGATAAGCCGATAAGGAGAGAAGAGAAACAAGGGCATAGAATTATGGTTTAGATCATAATGGGATTTATAAGTTAATTATTATGTCAACCAGAAAAAAGCCAATTCCATGAATCACATGTAAAAATTAAATACATGGTCTGCATGGCCTTGTTGTTCTTGTTTCTATTTCTTAAAGTTTCCATAAAACAACTCTTCTTTTTGAGAAAAAGAGTAAATGATTTCATTAATAGCATAGAAAAGAAAGTACGTGAGAAAATGTACAAGAGGACTATTGATAAAAAAATGTACAAGAGGACAAACCACACACAAGTTGCGAAGGGATATGCTAATCACTATACAAGTTTTGCTTGTGTGCACCAGATTTAGCCAAGCTATTTGCTAAAGAGTTTTAACTCTAGGAATTTGTCACGTGTCTAATAAGTGGGATCGTTGATGGTTCCATAGGGTCAAAGTAATTAGAGAGGTTGGTGTTAGTAGTGGTCATGGGAGAGAAAATAGAGGGGTGATAGTTAAGTATTTGCATTGATTTGGTCAAGAGTCCATGTAATGCATCTAATTTAGTCCATTTTACGGAGAGACAGATTGCATTGAATTGGGACACGTGGCTTGTGGGTGAGGATAAATCTTTCTTTAGGAGTTAGCTTTAAAGTGGGTTAGTACTTAGCAAGACTCTATTTAAGTTGTAATTTTCTTCTTAATTTAATTATCATGAGAATTATCTTTTGTTAATTAAGGGTTATCTCTTTGGAAGTGTTCATCTCCCTCGAAGTAGATGGAATTCATGTTACACCTTATTGGAATCGTAACATTTGTTTTGATACGTGCCTTAGGAGAACTCAACCCTAAAAGATCTCCCTCGAAGTAGATGGAATTCATGTTACACCTTATTGGAATCGTAACATTTGTTTTGGTACGTGCCTTGGGAGAACTCAACCCTAAAAGATCTCCCTCGAAGTAGATGGAATTCATGTTACACCTTATTGGAATCGTAACATTTGTTTTGKTACGTGCCTTGGGAGAACTCAACCCTAAAAGATCTCCCTCGAAGTAGATGGAATTCATGTTACACCTTATTGGAATCGTAACATTTGTTTTGGTACGTGCCTTGGGAGAACTCAACCCTAAAAGCTATAGGGCCTTTTAGAGGTGAGTTCTCCCAAGGCACGTGATGAGGGCGGATTTGGCCCTCCAATAACATTGTGACACATGGCATCTCAGAACAACTAGATGATTTGGAGTCCTAGATCGCGGCTCATCCTTACCTTGACCTGGCGACCTGTCTTTACCCCGACTTGCCGACCTGCCTTTACCATCGACTTGGCAACTTGCCTTCACTGCCGACTTGGCGACCTGCCTTTATGCCGACCTAGTGACCTCGACCACAACTTAGGTCGGCTTGCAACACCTCATCTAGGGTCAACCTGTAGCACCACGTCACCGGCCGAAGTGACCTCGACGCAAGGAGCGACCTCCCTCGAGGGCTTGCCGACTTGACTGGGGACTAGGCGGTGACCTGCGAGATGTGCTCGCCGACAAATTCGGCATGCATATCTCGACGCTCCCAGGTTTCTCGGAAGTTGGCCCACGTACCGAATGTTCTGGAGGATGGTCAATGTGCATGGCAGTTGCCTCCGAGGATCTCGGATCGGTTAGGCACAACCTCCCGGAAATCTCGGATGCGGTGTGTGAGGCCCACACCAAACAATGCCTATATAAAGGCACCAACCCGAATGACACAGGAGAGAGGCGATTAAGTACATTCTAGCTCTCATACTTTCTGATTTTTAGCTCGCAATCTACTACAAGAGTACTAACTTAAGCATCGGAGTGACCTGGCCGGGTTAGCCACCCCGGGTCCTCTGACACTGTTTCCTGGTAGGTCTCTTTGAAGAGCTATCCAGTTTGGCACCCGAGCAGCCTCCTAATTCAATCCAGTTAGTTCGGCATCCAAGCCTTTATTCAGCAGAAATACTCTAGCTCGACCTTTGAGTCATCAAACACCAGGAAGTAGTGAAAACAACAGGATGCTACCAAAAAACCCTTCATCAATTGGCGCCATCTGTGGGAAACGCTACAAGAAGCTAAGTTCTCACCTTCTAAAAGGCTAAGTCCTCATCTTCTAGAAAACTAAAGATCTCACCTTTTAGAAATTAAAGTTCTCACTTTCTAAATTCCATTTTCTATGAACTCAAAGGCACATTTGAGCAGCATCAACACCCAGAACGAATACCGATTATTGGGGGGCAAAAACATCTCTGATGAACTTGGAGAACCCCCCTGTGATAATCAGACAAGTTCAAGCCGAACTCAGCATCCCTAGTGCCCCAAATAAATACCCCGCTACTGCATGTGAACGCCCCTCTCCCCGTGGTAGAGCCATCAGTAGTTCCTGTCGGGATCAAAGCGCGGCAATTCCATGAGATGAAGCATGAATTTCCAGATGTGAGCATAGGAGCAGCTCAACGTATTCATGTTGATGCAGAATAAGTAGCAGCAGAACAACCTTAACAACTAGCAGTCCAATGACAGTCACCTCGGAGTAAGGCTGTCCTCGAAGGTCGAGCCAATCATGGTTCCCGTAGGAAGTTGATGGTCAACAGACTAAGCAGCTCTACCGACTTTATTTCAGCTCGGATAAGCCTCATCAGTCCTCTTCGCAAGGTATCCCCTACAGATTGAACCCTTTGCAGCTCCCGTGGGAGTTAGCGGCCTACGAACTATGCAAACGCCCTTGCGGGTCGAGCCCCTCGAGGCTCCCGAGCGAGTCGGCGACCTACATTTAGTAGAGCTGCCCCTATAGGTTGAGCTCCCTGTGGCTTCTCGTAGGAGTGGAGGACCAATGTCATTACGAGACTGATGCAGCGCAGCCGTGGCCTCAAACTTCCGACTCACACCGACAACAGCATTATGCCCTTGCAAGGGGGGACAGAACATGTACGATGTGGTCTCGCAAGCACTCACCCATGAATCCAATCTCAAGTGACGATGTAGAAGTAGCCACATCTAAGGTTACAACAAAATGACCACCCGCTTAAGCGAACTGGTCAGGCCACATGTCGGCTAAACAATATTATGGAGAGTGGATCGCGAGTCGCTCCCAGAGCCAAAGGGCTAAGGTGCCGAGTTGATAAAAGACCTTGGCACCACATGAGACCTAGTCGCCTCTTCAGCATGGGCAAAATCAAGGGTAAGGAGAGTGGACTACGAGTTGCTCCCAGAGCCTAAGGGATAAGGTGCCGAGTTGACAAAAGACCTTGGCACCACATGAAACTCAGTCGCCTCTTCGGCATGGGCAAAATCAAGGATAAGGAGAGTGGATCGCGAGTTTTTCCTAGAGCCTAAGGGCTAAGGTGCCGAGCTGATAAAACACCTTGGCACCACATGAGACCCAGTCGCCTCTTCGGCATGGGCAAAATCAAGGGTAAGGAGAGTAAACCGCGAGTCGCTCCCAGAGCCTAAGGGCTAAGGTGTCGAGCTGATAAAAGACCTCGGCACCACATAAGACCCAGTCGCCTCTTTTGCATGGGCGAAATAAAAAGCCGTTCACATTCAACACGAGAAAGAAAACAAAGGAAAGACTAGTTCGCTCTCAGCACCATGACGGATGCAAACTTGGCCGATTTCTTCACAGTCGGCCTCCACCTCGGTTGCAGGCTCCGCATCGAACTCACTGGCTAGAACCAACTCAAAGGACGTTGCGTCAAAGTCTACCTAGGTGGAGTGACCTGATAAAGCAGTCACACAAAACCCCCTCTTGAGGACAGCATGATGAGCTTCACTCTTAAGGTATTTAGCCGGATTGCAGAACCCCTTGATGGTCACATCCCTAATTCGCTCTCGTGCCCCGAAAATAAAGATGGTGAGGTCCTTCCTGCATAAGGCTGCAAACACTTGGACTCTTCCGACCTGAGAAGCAAATTGGATCGACACTTACGAGCTTATCGAATCAGTCATTCCAAGCCAAGAGGAGCGATCTACTCCCTTTGCCAAGTTACTTTCTGCTCGGGAGTGGGGGGCAATTGATGAGGGCGGATTTGGCCCTCCAATGACATTGTGACACATGGCATCTCAGAACAGCTAGATGACACCTAGACACCACCTAAGTGATGATTTGGAGTCCTAGATCACGGCTCATCTTTACCCCGACCTGGCGACCTGCCTTTATGCCGACCTAGCAACCTCGACCACAACTTAGGTCGGCTTGCAGCACCTCGTCCAGGGTCAACCTATAGCACCTCGTCACCGGCCGAAGTGACCTCGACACGAGGAGCGACCTCCCTCAAGGGCTTGTTGACCTGACTGGGGACCAGGCGATGACCTGCGAGATGTGTTCACCGACAAATTCGGCATGCATATCTCGATGCTCCCAGGTTTCACGGAAGTTGGCCCACGTATCGAATGTTCCGGAGGATGGTCAACGTGCATGGTGGTTACCTCCGAGGATCTCGGACCGGTTAAGAATGACCTGGAAATCTCGGATGCAGTGCGTGAGGTCCACACCAAACAATGCCTATATAAAGGCACCAACCCCAATGACACAGGAGAGGCGATTAAGTACATTCTAGCTCTCATACTTTCTGATTTTTAGCTCGCAATCTACTACAAGAGTACTAACTTAAGCATCGGAGCGACCTGGCTGGGTTAGCCACCCCGGGTCCTCTGACACTGTTTCTTGGTAGGTCTCTTCGAAGAGCTATCCAGCTCGGCACCCGAGCAGCCTCCTAATTCAATCCAGTTAGTTTGGCATCCAAGCCTTTATTCAGCATAAATACTCCAGCTCGACCTCGGAGTCATCAGGCACCAGGAAGTAGTCAGGACAAAAGGGTGCTGCCAAAAAAACCCTTCATCAACACGTATCAAATGGTATCAGAGCCTACACTATGCCTCCTAGGTGCAATTGTGCGGCACAGGTGGTGATGTCGGTATTGCAGTGTTCGGCCAGGACTAGGTGGACTAGTGCAAAGCCAGCTTGCGTGGGCGTCGGGACTGCGGGGCATGGTGGATTGTTACGATCCATTTGTTCCACATTAGTAGTATGGGATGCTAATGTGAGGTATCCCACATCGGTAGTATGGGATGCTGTTGTGGGATATATATGTGCTTGGGTTTCCTCCCTCTAACAGCTAGCTTTTAGGGGTAAGTTCTCCAAAGGCATGTATTAGAATCTAGATTAATTTGACATTCAATGAGTCCAGTAGATCTCTTGACTCATCTAGGTAATGTACATGCCTCCACGGCCCACCTTCCTTCCCCCCATCCACTTTATTGTATTACTAGAATCACCTTTGATGACTAGCAAAGACAGGCCTTGCTCTCTTGCAGTACAGAGTCCAGTTAGCACAGCTAGTATTTCAGCCTTGCTCTCTTGCAGTACGGAGTCCAGTTAACACAGCCAGTAAACACACCTCCAATCCTGGCTACACCAGGATTACCAAGGGCACCTCCATCAAAGTTCAGAGTCAACTTCTCTTCTCTTAAAAGAGGAAAGCTTGTTACTTTTAGAGAAATGGGAGAATATAACAAGATTTCCACCATATTTTATTGAAGATCCTTCAAAGATGTAAACCTTTAGACACCTCCAAGTTCAGCACCCACAGATTGCACAAGTAGTCAAGTAGGATATATGAGAGATCAAATCACCCATATCTAGCTCTATTGTCAAAAATCTGGTTGTTTCTTTCTTCCCACACCCCCCACATTACTGCTTTAAGTCTCTAACCACTGTCCACCAGTAAACTTTCCCCCTTTTTCCTAGTCCTCTTCCTTGCCATTGCCAAAGAAGTCTTCAATGTGTTCAGGAGTGACCCAGATGTATCCAACAAGCAAGGTTTAAAGTATCGATACGCCCAATATGCATGAACAGGCGTACCGAGTGTTTCGATACTTCATAAATGTTTCAAGGCGTCAGTTTTAGACTTGCCTACCCCCTGAAAGTGCCCAAATTCCGAAACACCCCTTATTTGGGGTTTTGGAAAGCTATCGATACGATACAATATGTCTGATATGGGGTGTATTGTATTGAAATTTTGAACCTTGCCAACAAGGTTTAAGAAATAGATCCAAATCTCCCTTGTTTAGGTGCTCTGTTATTTCACCATGCCAAGAAATAGACCCACATCCTACCTCTGTTTTTCTTCTGTAGCAAATTGAAAGTGCTTATCTTTTTAAAACAAGCTTCCCACACAAAAAAGGAAACTCTAAGAGGGATATGAGAAATCCAAATCCTCTTGAAAGGGAACCTAGAGGTAGAGGCTTCCGTCACTAGGGCCTTACTGGCAGGATGAAGCTTCCAAATTCTTTGGACTAAGATTGAGGGGGGACAGATAGACCTCTCTTAAGGAGTGCAGCAAATTTGCAAGCTCAGTTATTTCAGGTGGGGAAGCAAGGAGACAGGAGGCAATAGTGACTTGGGTTTGGGAAAGGTTAAATATGCGGAGGTAAGAGTTGGCCAAAGTGTTTCTCCCCACCAAAGGTCAGTCCAGAATTTGATTTTATCCCCACTTCCTACTTTGTATCTAATAGAAGAAATATAGGTATTCTAGATAGAAAAAATACATTTCCAAGGTTTGCTGGCTTTCACTCGATTCAAGTGAAACTTGCCATCCCAATTGTTGGCATCTTTTCCATATTTGCTGCTGATGACTGAAGTCCAGAGAGCACCTATTTCCATAAACAACCCAAGACCAATCCCCGTCGGGTATATAAATCAACCTCCATCCCTAATCCACAATGGAGATGGGTTCCCCATCAGGGACCTGATTTCCCGAATTCCTTTTTTTTTAATTCAAAAATTTCTTTGAGAGAAAGATTTACTTAAAAAAAGAGAAAAAAATTCACTAATCTACATTGGTTTAGCACTTAACTAACATCTTTAATCACCAAGATAAAATAGAAATTTGAAATTTGTCCAATATATGTAGTGGCATTATTGTAACTATATAGAACTACTTTTGTTCCCCATCTCTTATATCCCAATTAGTCCCCATTCTTGTCCCCACCCTGCCATAGCAGTCTCCATCCCCGACCCCATCTGGTTGGGGAGGGCGGGTACCCAGCGGTGATAGGGAAAATTGCTATCCCTATGTCCATTGTCCAGCCTCTTGGAAACCCTTCTAATAAAGGTACCTGGAGCATCTAGGAGGAAGCTGATTTTCCAGAATCACGAATACACAAGCACTACTTTTGATAAAACTTCAAAACAAATGAGCTTTTTGCCTTCTTCAAGTTATCTCTTCCTCCTGAAATGGGTAAGAGAAAAAAGGAAGAAATTAACAGAGACAGAAGAGAATGTTTGAATGCTTTTTCTTATTCTTTAGGGATTTTCAGCAGTTATTTATAGACGATTCAGGAATTCCAGTGATTTAAAAGGCGCGCCTAGGCGCACAGGCGAGGTGCATTTTGAGGTACGTGCCTCGCCCAGGTCCTAAGCACACCCCTTTCAAAAGGCGCATGCTTGGTGCACCTAGGTGTGCGCCTGATGCGCGTTGCGCCTCAGCCCAGGTGTGTGCCTTTTTAAAGTTTTGTGCTTTTTGCTGTAACCACGCCTCTTGAGGCAAGCTTGAACAAGTCTATGTTAAGGTCTAAAATTCTTATTTCTCACTTAAAAAATAATAATTTTATTACTTTCATCGTCTTTTAAGAAGATATTTTATTGCAACGAATGAATGAACAACATTAGCAAATAGGGGGTTCTCGGATGTGAGAAATAAGAATTTCAGACCCTAACATAGACTTGTTCAGGCTTGCCTTGAGGGGCGTGGTACAAAAGTGGCTCATAAAATCAAGAATGCAATATGTTATACATCACATTAGCTACTTGAAGCAATGCAATTAAGGAGAAAAAGAGATTGTGGGTTTTATATGCTTGAAAATGCTTTATATGTTTGTTTTTATTTTTAAATTTTCATTTGAATACGCTTTACATGTTATGCTTATGTATTTTAATTTTAGATAATAGGGTTTTTAAAACATTTATTTTAAAATTTAAGTTTATATTTTTTATTAACATTATGCTTAATATTTTTTGAATTTTTTGCACTTTTTAAAAAAACTTTGGTTTTTTAGCTTTTTTTATGTAATTTTGTGCCTTTCTTAAAAAGGCACACACTTTGCCTTGCACCTCAGGTGCAAATTGGCTCTTGTGCGTTTTTTTGCACCTTGTGCTTTTAAAATACTGGGAATGCTCGTGTTAGTTATGCTGACATCGCCCTCAGGTGTAGAGAAACGTGATAGGAGGTGTCACGTGGGATACTTTCACCAGGTTGCTGGACTTGAGACCTGAAGCAAGAGATGGATGAACCAGGGCCCCAGGTGCCCCTGCCTTGGTGCTCTGCTGAACCAGATCCTATCAACTTTACACAGGAACAAGTTACTTGGCCTGATGTTTTTTTCCACCCAATAACATGAACAAGTTTGGTATTTTATATGTTTTGGCCTTGAAGGTCTTGAATATACTATTGTTGCTAGCATTGTGGGCTTGGCTGTCATCAAGCCCCTAAATCACCAAGTGACAAGACATTACACCCTATAAACCCCTATATTCGCACAAAAACTCGTTTTTTTGTTTTTCCCTTTTGACTTGAGGAATCTGTGGACAGACTTATAATTTTAGCTTTACTATCTACTGTCTCATTCATACCTGATGTTAATTGCTAGCATTGTGGGCTTGGCTGTCATCAAGCCCATTAATCACCAAGTGACAAGACATTACACCCTATAAACCCCTATATTCGCACAAAAACTCGTTTTTTTGTTTTTCCCTTTTGACTTGAGGAATCTGTGGACAGACTTATAATGCTAGTACTATCTACTGTCTCGTTCATACCTGTTGTTAAAGTAGATGAAGACCAAAATATTTGTTTTTTCAATGTTACTTGATGATTGAACTGCACTGTGCATAAACATTCTAAACAAGCCTTTGGATTTGTGACAGGATGTTCATTGATTCTTGCAAACGGTTGAGGATTATGAAAAGCTCTGATGCCATTGGCCTAGGTGTGTATATTTTCCATTTGGAAAATGATTTCTGAGTTTCTGACCTACGGAAGAATGGATTGCATACCCCACCTAATTGAAGACACGACTCGGAGTCCACTCACATTAAATGATTACATGTTGCCCATGCGTTTTTATTCCCTTCTTTTCATGCTCAGGGAGGATATGGATGAAAATCCCATGCTTCTTGTCACCATGTCACAATGCTTCCAATCTCCATTATCCTATACTAGTTTGTTAGTAATAACTGACTAGAATAAAAATGAATTTTAAACCAGTCTGTGCACATAATATTGATCAGATGGATGACAGGGAGGTGAAATTATCATGCACATATTTTGCGTAGAAGATGCACATTTCTGGTTTCTAGGCACCCATTTTTGTAGTGTCTTTGGGTGGAATCAACTAATGAATTAAGTGGGCAAGAACTTTTATAGTAAATATCAGCCATTTGGGAGAAGTTAATTTATGGTTGCTATGTTCATGCATTTTTAATGCTGAAAATCTCCTTTGGCCCCAAACATGGTATATAGTTTCTTGTGCAAATTCCATTCCCTAGTTTATGCATTCTAGGTTGTCGTGTGAGTCATTTCACTTGCCTTTTCTGGAGGTGTTTTCCACACATTTACATTTATATGTCCTATTTCCTTGATTTAAAGGAACACTCCAGTGTTATCAAAGCATTGACTAATTGATTGACTTTGGGCCAGACCAATTGTATTAATAACTAGTTTGTCAATAATTACAATGCAGAAACTTGGGGTAATCAGGCTTCAAATGATCTTGGATCTGCTACCCACACATATATACGAAACATTGCAGCCACACATTGGAGCATCTCCCGTACTTGTATATTGTCATTCATGGGGAAATGTTTCGAATGTATGGCTGTAGTGTTATTGTCGTAGCAGATCCAGACTTGCTTAAAATACCATCCAACCACAGTTATTTTAAGGCTTTATTTCTTTGTGCAATCAACAATTATCATCATCAAAGTCCAAGGCTACATGAATCCTGTTTTGCCATTCCATTCTGTTCAGTGCAATATCCATCATTTCCTATATGGGCATGCAGCCGCACATTGAGAACATCGTAAATTGAACATATATGTAGGGGTTCCCAATGTGCATCTGGATGCTGTGTGCACAGAGTTTTTGCTTATATGAGATTGGGTTGCAAACCAGTCTTGATATTGACTAGAGAGGCTAAATGGACTAGTTAGCTAGCACCTCATTGCGTTTATAACAGTGGAACTCTCTTAGTGACATCACCTGAGCAAATTTGAGTTTCTTCCAGAATAAATTTGTATCTTAGGTATCATTTTGTTTTTCACTGCAGCTCCAAGGGCCATGGAGAAATGCAGGAACAGGAACTAACTGGTGTCTGAACATGATAATTGCTTTCTGGTCAGCGACCCAAATGGAAAACATTCAAGATAAGCAGAGAAGAACCTGAAGGAGAAAAGAGAATAGCGGGATGTAGACTGGATGGCAAATCATGGATTAGATGCTTAGTCATTTCTATTTATATTTTGATTGCCTGGTAATTCATGTTGGTTTAGTTTATGTTGTGTGTATTATTATTTGTAGTTATAAAACCTCTAAGATAAGCAGTCTTGGAGCACCGCTTAATTTAACTAGTGTTATGTAAGTTCCTGTTACCAATAGGGGACAAGTCTGTAAAGTGCTTGATGTGAACCTGTCTGTTTGCTTAAGTGTGCTTGTTCAAGGACCCGCTCTATGTTATGAATTTATGATATTCCAAAATCCAAACTGCTATTGCTATTATCCACTTGACTGTTTGTCCATCTGTGGATGGTTTTTATTGTCTGATGTATTTGGTCTTGATTTATTACTTGTCCACTTGATGATCCTAAATGATCAAATATTTTATTTACTGTCTATGATCCTTGGGTTTATCCCTTAACAGATAACTTGGATTCCAACATTGCGGTGCTTGGTTGCTGATTCAAAAAAATAAAAAAGGTGGTTGTGTTCCTGAGCCACATTATAAATATTCATTATAGTCTTTCTGCTATTTATGATTATGGTAGTGTTCTGAATCACCCAGAACCACAACCGATATTCTGTTTATGGTTTCTTTGGTTCCCTTGGCAGAAAATGTAAATCGTCTGTTCTAGTCTGCCCAATTGAAAAGGATAGTACCTATGAAAAATTTTAAATAAAAACGACCGGAGAACTTAAATTGTACCAACACATTTTGTGTTGTGCCTCTGAGAATTCTCCCTTAAAAGTTAGCTATATTAGAGGGAGGGAACCTAAGCACATATATACCCTATAATAGCATCCCATACTATCCATGTGGGATATTTCACATTAGCATCCCATATTACTAACATAGTAACATGAGACAAATGGATCATAACATTTTGCATATGGAAATTTGGTGTAGACTGGGGTGTTCCATTACCAACATAACCCTCTACCTGTAAGCCATTATTCTTATTATTACCATCTCTTGGGTCAATACTCTTTTGAAGAATGCTGGCCTCATTGGAAACAAGATGACAAAAAAGTTAAACATCAACTCTTGTTTGCAATTTGCTAATACTATTATAAATATTAATATTAATATTTTTACACGTGCGTGCCGAGCCGAGACGGGTGGGTCGGGTCGGGGGCATGGGCACGGGCGTGGCTGCATGTACATATGCGTGATGCACTGAATCGTTTTGTTTTTAACCGGATTAAACCCTTTCAATTTAAAACGTGTCTCTTCAAATTCGAATTTAATTTTTAAATTAAAGCATTTTCTCTTTTCGTATCTCTTCTTCCTCCCTATGCCTCTTCAAATAGGTGCACTGTTCTAAAGAGGCTTCTGTCTGAACAGACACCTCTGTGTTCATTCGGGTTTGAGAACACTTTATAAGAGGAGTGTTGGTCGACCCAGTCTACACACAACATTTTTTGACTCTTTGTCTTCTCTGTAAATCTGAGCATCAATCTTCTGTGATTCGCGGAGGTCTGGAAGCGAGTGCACGCCTACAAGTATCCTGTGGGCTGTTTTATATTGGCAACCAATTTGCGATCACCCAACTACACTGTAAGAGGTAGATGCGGTTTTAAGGAGTGACCAAGTGGCACGATTCAACCCTCCTTCTCCCTATAATACCAGAAAAACTTATCACCAATCAACCGGGATCATAAAAATGATAACCAATTAGATGGTCATTTATCAAAATTCATGAGATTTTTTATTTGTCAAAACCCTTCTAATATCTTGTCTTTCCGGCAGCATAGATTTTTCCTATTAATATAGCAAAGCATATAAAGAGTGTTTAGTGTTTGATTGATATTTTGGGATGTAAAACCATGCATATAACGAGAGGAAGGAAATGTAATTATAGGCCCACAATTTTGGGAATAAAAAATGAAAACTAGCATGCATTTTATGAATAAAAGTTGAACATTGGTTCATTAATTATGTAAAAAACAAAAGGGTGAAATTGTAACAAAAAGAATTATAAGACATCTAGGGGTGATGCTGAATATGCATCAAAGTTCAGGGGCGGGGGTTGAACTTTTGATTGGTCAAAGTTATTCCCATATCATCATCATCATAGATTGCTATGGTACCGGAAAGGTATAATACCTGGATTTGCAACGCTTCTGATCTCAACGAAAAACCAGTTTCGCCACAGGTCTGGAGCTATTCCCAATGTACAACTTTATTGTCTTGTGGGTAGGAATCCTGTACAACTGTATTGTCTTGTGGGTAGGAGATCCGGATTGCTGCTTGCAAGAAAATGGAGTACGAGAACAAGTTCATATTCGCTTCTATGGTTCAAATTTTGGAATGGTGATAGAAATCATTAAATGGTTCCTTGGTCTTTAGTCGTGCTAATTAATTCTATTGGCCTAAAGTTAGGATTTTGAAGCCCTTGGTACAATTCAATTGCAAGTCTACTGCAACCAATTTGGATTATAGTTATCTTCATGGTTTTTGAACCAATGTTGATTCAGCCTGAAAACCATTAAGGCAATCAATTCCGTTTCACCCCTCAACTGTTTCTTTACCAAAATCCGTTGATTTTGTGAGTGACACTCTGATTTGGGCGATCAAACTTCGACTCGCTCAACCTAGACAACGGTTTTTGGCCGTTTATTATTTTAATTATTTTTTATTTTTTAAATTATAATGGACCATCAATTTAAACCAAATGGCCAAACCGCTGACTCAGAAACTGGTGGCCAAAATGGTTCTGGTTCTAGATCGGTTTTTTAAAACATTGGTTTTCATTGTTTCCTTCCTAATTAGACATATCCAGAACAGGAATTCTGTTTATAATGGGGCTTCAGTCGCTGCGTTTAAAGAAATTCATCTCCTCTCTATTATATCTTTTGATTTTCATTTTGTAGTTTGAATTTAATTCAGTTTCTTTTGGGCATGGTGCAGATATTACTTTCAGGGAGGAAATTGTTGATCACAAATTTGTAAAGTGGGAGCTTTAGACTGATCAAAAAGGAGGAGGAAAGTTCTATCCCTACTTATTTTGATACTCTGCATGTTTTTCCCTAGTACAGGATTGCATTTGATGGATCACCTTGACTATAGGTTCTGATGCATGTACTTGGGACAATTTGCTATTCTGTTCCCCAAAGAAAGAGTAAAGTTGTATGCTTTATCTATTTCTCATATAATTACATTGTTATGCTATTCTGTTTTTTTTTTTTTTTTTGGTATTATAGCCATCAAAGGAAGGGGTTGACACTTGACTAACTAGATAACTGGGAGGTGAATGAAATGTACAAAATCTATCTGAAGTGCAGATGATGAATCATATTTTCACTTGTTTTGGTCAACTATAATATAATTTTCCTAGTTTTCAGCTTCAGAGACCTTCAATCCAATTTCCCTGGTTTGCATTTTTTTGTGGCCCATATAACTGAATCCAGATTTACTCCTCACAGCACTTGGAGCAGCACATCTGGAACATCTCTGTATTTGTTAAGTTGTCATTTATGGGAGATGTCCCCTATGCAGGATTGCAACATGCTGTGGGGTTGGTGTGAGGCGCACTCTATGAGGGGCAAATCCAATTTCCCTATAACCTATGTCAAATATAAACTATATTTTAGATTTTTATGCAACATTAAATGCAATTTTAAGTGAGATATATTTTACAAGTGAAGATCACACAAGTTCCAGAACAATGAGAACAAGAAAAATAGGAAGGGGAATTGTACCAAAAATGGGAAAGAAGTCTTTTTGGCTTTTGAGCCCAAGTTAGTTGGTAGTTGTTTTATCAATTAAGAAAACATTTGGAAGTTATTTGGAATTTTATGTGTATCATTTTGTGAATTTGAAAGATGAAGGAACATTTTGACATGAGCTTCTTGTGTAAATGAAGACCAACTGGTTAGAATTTCCAACATTATTGTCTGGTATCTTCCCTTGTTTCTCATATGGAGTTGGTACTGATTTGAATACTTCACTCCATTGGTCCAAAGATTTGTACTGCCTAAGAGCTCTCTAAAGGGGATTTCTTTAATCTTGGTGTAGTTTTAAAGAAATTGCTTAAATTTTCTATAGTCTATGTTTTATTATGTTATATTTTATTTGGATATAATGTGTCTAGAAATCCATGAAATCTTTCCAAGACGGTTCTTATCCACTCTACATTAGAGAGAGTACTTACTTATCCCATGCAGACTCACCTCTTGCCTAAGTTTCTCAACAGTTGGATCATTTATCATAAAAGAGACGATAAGGGTTGAAGATGCCATTAAAAGATGATAAGAGCCAGTGCCTGTTAGGTAGAGTGGTTCCCCCTGACCGCTTCCCAGCAGCTTTGGCGGAAGTTTTGGGCTCTCTTGAAAGGGTTGAAAATGGCCATTAATCAAAATCTCTCAACACAGTCTTTGAAAGTGATGCTAAGTCTATCACTGGCCTTTCATTGGTGGACAACAGTGAGCCACCATGGCGGATTCGACACATGATTGCTATCTGTAGAGGTCTTATTCATCAGCTCATATCCGTTACAGTCCAAGAAGTTGTGATAATGTAGCTCATAAGCGGGCCAAATTTGATCTTTCCTGTACTCAGTATAATTTCTTGGTCCTCCCTTCCTTTATTTCAAATCTATTGGGGAGTGAAATGTAGCTTTCCTTATTGAATGGATTTAGTCTCAGGGCTTCAAAAAAAGAAAAAAAAAAAGAGCAGTTAACCAAAGATATATTTTATGAAAAAAAATATCATACTTGAACAGAGATTGTGGACTGGATACACAGTAATCATCTTTTGTTAGGGTACTCTTTTCTATAACAACAATTTATTGAAAAAAGAAAGTATAAAGAAAAAAATGAAAACTACTACTACAGTTAAAACCCAAACCAAGACAAATATGAACATCAAGCTGCCCTTCCCTGTAAGTGGCCACTCTATAACCAGATGTATGCCTGAAAATAAAGAGTGGCTTCATAATGTGAGACTAGCCATGGCCCAAACGTCATAGGACCTAAGGGCGAAAGAAACCAAGTAACTTTCAAAGGAAAACATCCCAACCTGTTGAATGTTTGCAGAAGAGCAGATATTTACTTCACTTTACCTGATTTCCACACAATCCAGATTGATCCAAAAAATAATACAATCTCAAATGACTTCAGGCTACCCTCCACAGAACAGTCATTTGTTTTAGTGGATGGATCTTATTACACCAGCACACACTATGCCTCATCAGGTATCTGGCATTCTCCTTTATTCTCATGACAGCAACATTAGCATTGCAAAAGGACAGCCTAGCCATGCCAATTCAGCAGCAGGATCTGAACTCTGGGCAATTGTGAGAGGTTTAAGAAAACTCATCTCCCTCAAAATATTCAATGCCTTTTTGCTCTCTGATGCGAAATCAGTTCATCATCTCAAAGGAACTGTGGAAAACATTAGATGGAATGAACAGCCTTTAGTAGAGCACATCAAGCATCTAACAAGTTTTTTTTTGTTAATATCAAGATTATATATGTAAATAGGAAAGAAGTACAAGCGGCCCATGTAATGGCCAAATAGGAAAGAAATCCAGGTCTTGTCTCTTTATCCTTTAACACCCCCTCCCCCCAGTAACCATTGCATCTTAGCATTTTGTAAATGGGGGCAGGCAATGTTTCCTTAGGCTCAGTTTGGAAAGAATACAAATACAAATATGTACAGTATAAATACATACAAAATAATACAAAATACATGGAATTGTACTCTATATATTTGTATTTGCACTCCTTCCAACCTAACCTGCCTAGCTCGGCCCAGTCAATTAGGCACCTAACCTGCCCAGTTCGGCCTAGTTAACTCGGCACCTAATCTGCCCCCAGCTCGGCCTGGTCAGCTCGGCATCTAGGTCCTCATCCAGCAAAAGTTCACTTCGGCCTCTGAGTCATTGGCCACTTAGAAGCAGACCAAATGACGAGGTACTTAGCACAAAAAATTGATACATCACCAAAAAATTGATTCATCAATATGCACTGTGTATTATTTTTTGCAAATTTAAATAATGTTATAATTAAACTGCATGTGGCATGGCTTTATCAACATCTTTATTTTAGAAGTAAATGAAGGCAGACAGTCTACATGAGTCCAATCGTGTATCCGACATGTCTTGACAGAATGACAGAGGTTCCTTGTCATGCAGTGTCCAACATGCCAGAAATCTTTAGAGGTGTCTCACATATCAAATGTGATATCTTTGATAGATAGGATGACCAAATGCATAATGCAGGGACAAAGATGAGCCAATACTTTATGATGCATATTGACAGCAAAAACTTAGGAGGTGTTCATGTTTGTTCATTTAATTTCAGGGCATTTTGTGAGAAAGAGATGCTCAATTTGTCAATAAAAGTCAGTAGCAATCAAATTAAATTAAGTAAATCTACTCTTTTTTTTTTACTTCAATTAAGTAAATCTGCCTTTGGAGTAGATACACAGTTTGAACAATTCGATATCCATATTTTCCATGTATTATATTCCATATTCTAGAAATCCTAAAACGTAGGACCTAGGAGGACAAAGTAATACAAAGATGGTGATTCCATCAGTCTACAATCAGATGCCATTCACTATTTTGTTCTATTTAATTTTTCCTGTCCCCTTAATCTTCTGAAAGCTCATAATATTCATAGCCCTAACCAAGGTATCTATAGGCTTGTAACTGTCGGTTTTCAGTGATAACACAGAGCTTTCCAATAAGGATCATATTCCTATTACAGAGTGAGCAAAAGAAAGTTAACTATCATGCCTAGAGTAAATTTGCTCAACTGAGCTGAAACTAAACTTTTAAGAGAGTACAAAAGACCCAATAAAGAGATGGTTGTCAGAGAGCTAAAGGTCCAGAAAAAGAAGAAAGTTTAGTGCCTTGAACTGTGTTGGTCATGGGTGTACAGGTGAAGCCCAGTGCTGCATCATGTGCTTTGTCACCAACTAATGCCTGGGAAGCTTTAGTTTGGCTGTGGAATGGAAAATAAATCAATGAATCCAAACTTTTTTTTTCTTCTCTTCTTATTTTGTAGCACTCAAGATGTCTACTTGGTGATTCTTTCTTTTCCATTCTACCTCCAGTGAGGTTGTATATTAAAATCCTATTTTCCAACAAGACTGACCCTCCACGGAATTATGCTCACAATTTGGCCCCCTATCTTAGATTTTCTCTGTTTTGCCTTCTTTTTCTTATGTCCTTATCTCCTACCTCTTTTTCATTGGCGCCGTGTGGAGTCAGTATTGCACAGACGCCAGATGGAGGTGTCAACCCACGAGACTCATAACTAAAATGTTTCCCTCCTAAGAGACCGTCTGTGCTCAAAATCAGCATTATCACACATATATATATATGTTCATGAACTTGAGTTATATCTGGAGCTTTAATAAATACTTTTATTTTATTTTTTTCTGAGGTTCAAATGTTGGTCCAAATGGAAATAGTAAGATACGGCGTTGAGTTGAGCAGTTGAGCTGACTATGCCCATTCTTAGCAATGAGTAATATCTCAGATGGGGCCTAAATTCAATGGCTGGTCCTTGTCCTCTGCGTGTGACGCACATGCCAATAATTTCTTTGTGGAGCCAATGCCTCTTGTCTGGATCCTCAGTTTTAACTCAAGGCATTTCTTTTTCCCACCAGAATCAGATATCTATGGCCGTCTACATCAAATGGACTAGACATTTTTAACTGTTGAGGGGTGATTATTGGAGTCTAATAATTTGAAGCCGGTTTGAACTTTGAAGGGGATGAAATTGGTTTTGAGGAGCCATAAGGGCCATTATCTGAGAGAGGATTTCATTCCATTCTGAGTTTCTAACGTAAGAATTTTCCAGAAATGGGGAATACAATAAAATCACAAGCCTAATGTGGCCATCCCATCAACCCCTGGTAGTATAAGTGAGGGACAATCTGGGCTGTTGCAGCAAGATTTTGGGGTATTCACAGTTTTGGCGGAGGGTTTATTGGATGGCTTCTTGCTTTCTCAAATGACGAGGCAAAACAGATCAAACCTCCAACCCTCTTTCAGAAAACTCTTCAATATTCTTGGAACTTAACTTCGGTCTAGAGCCACGCGATGTGAATGTGATGCCCTCTGGCCAAATTCAGGCGTCACCACCACAGTCACAGATGATGACAGACACCAGGCCAATCCTTTCTGATGGTCTTGGTAATGCATATTCTCACCAATTACCAATTGCCGGCTGCCAGCCATCCGCATATTTGGGGTTCTGGATCCAACATGCGCACTGGGTCTGGGGCAAACTCTCCCGCTTGCTCTGTGAGTGGAATACGGCCTTCCTAGAGAGAGAGAGAGAGTCAGAGAAGCCCTCCATCTCCATGAATGAAAAGTAGAGTAAATTCTCCAGGGAAAAATGCAGAGAGAGAGAATGGGGGCTCTAGAACCCAAAAGTGCGCAATTTAAGGAAGTCATCATCACATAAAAATGCGAGAGAGAGTGATAGAGAAGGCCAGTAGTTAAGTTTGGATCATGTTTCTACAAAACTTATCTCTTTTCATCGCCCCAAGCTACCTCCCTTCCATCTCAAAGAGCAGCTCGGTCACCCACGTAGCACTATCATCCCACCCCACACGAGAAATATATGACCATACCAAAGGTGGAGGAACTTGTACCAGTCGGGCAGTCCTCTCCAGTTTCCAGTCTCCTCCCACCTTTGTCAGCAAAACACATCTCCATCTATACACCTCTTTATCCAAGGGGTTGTCTTCTCATTGAATGTAGGGACCGGACCCACACCAATTCCGTTTGTATCTCAATAACCATTAGATTTTTGGTGTAATTAAAGATTGTAAGGGATGTGTGAGCGAGGACGGGTTGATTAAGACTCATCAAAGTATTGATTGGATAAATTCGATAGGACCCCAGACTCTCTTGGGTGGGATCCACCTCCCACTGTCACCATCTGATGCATTTACAACATACCCAGTAGAGAGGATGAGATGGAGGAATAGTAGCAGAGATGGAGATGGAGATGGAGACTGACAATCCACGGAGAAATGAGCTGGTTAGAAGAATCCATGGGAAGGAAACTTTCTTTTTCGCTGAGTGACTTGGAGAAATGGGAATTTCAAAATCCAAAGAAATAGAGTAAAACTTTGGAAACCATTATAATCCCTCGTCACAGTCACACCAACCTTTCTGTCCGTCTCTCTCGTGCGTGTTTTCTTTTAATCCACTAACAAATTAAATCTGAATTCTGAAATCCCAACTCCGGAACAAGGAAGCAATGAAGTCAGAGACAGACAGAGAGAAAGTATGTATTATTCCTGCGTCATTCATTCCCTTGCAGTCGCACTGTTGTATCAACGCATGAGCATGAAAATTGTCTAATTATCAACGCATGGGATTATTATTTCTTTTTATCTTCTGTCTACCACCCACATTCAATAACTAATCCACGTCAAACCCCACAAAACCAATAAAACATTTCAAATTCAAACTAAAGAAAATTAAAATAAATTAAGAACCATCCATCCATTACCATTACACGCATTTACAGAAGAACATTTTTATCTTCCCAGTTCCCATCTCCCCACCTTACAAAATACAATACATCCATACCCATCCATCTCCTTCCCCTGTCTGGTTTGTTTTTCTTTTGATAAAAATGAAATTTTTAAATGAAAAGAAGATAAAAACCGGAGGGGAGGACAGGAGACAATGGAAGCCGCTCTCCCCCAAAATTCTGTGGGGTTCCTCTTTTCCTTTTTCATTCTCTCTTTTTCTATCCCCTCCCCCCTGACCCTAACCCTCTGGAGAGTCTGGAGAAAGCGCCATACCGTCTTCTACTGCTTGTCGCCTTTCTTCCTCCCTGGGCCGCCCCTCTTTCAGTAGTTCAGCTTTCTTTTTTTTTTTAAATATACGGCATTTTTTAATATATAAATAATTTTTTTTTTTTTTTAAAAGGTTTAGAATCTTGCGTTCTCGAAGCCGTGCAAATCGCTCACTCTATTCAACGACTTTTTCATAATGGCTACTTTGGCGAGCCGCTCCGCTGCTCGCCAAGCCGACGACGGCGTAAGCGGCTCCCCGTTTTCGTCCACGTAGATCGCTTCCCTCTCAGTAGTGCCTCTACCACCAGGTCCACCACTACGCCTTTGGATCTGTAACTGCCAATGCAGCTCGGCTAGCTCGGCTTCCAAGCTGCGCAAATATTCATCGGCGCAGATAGAACTCGTGGATTGCATCATCAGCGCTCGAACGGAAGACAGCATGTTATACGCACTCGATAATTCATTCCTCTCCACCAAGCGTCGAGCTTCCACCAGGGCACGAGTGCTCACGTAGAAGTTCCTCAGCCGTTCGATCTTCGGGGATGATGATCGGATGGCTTGTGGTCTGGGTATCAACAGTGCATGTTCTTTCCCGTTGATCAGTTCCTGCGTGGCCGGGTCCCTGTAGCTGCACCGGACGGACATTACGTGGTGGGTGGCCCCCACGGCAGCAGCCGCCGGAACTTTCAGCTCCACCAGTAACTCCCTCTCCTCCTCGGCGTAGAGATCGCCAAGCCGAACCGACCCGGACCGGAACACCGTTGGACGTCCGCTGCAGTTATACACGGCGGATATCTCGGCGGGAGCAGAGCCGGGACAGAACCCGAGTTGTATTCGTAGATCTTGCACGACAACGCTCAATAACCCGCCAACGCACTTGGTGAAGGCGTCCTCTGCGGGTTCATGGTCATGGCTGTGCCTGCCACCGTTTTCTCCGAAGCCGAACGCGTGAACCGGGATCTCGAGGTGGGCGAATCGCGTCGACGACACGTTCGAGGAGGTCGGGCACCGTCGGTTGGCCGAGTTGTTCGATATCCGTTCGTCCTGGCCGTCCGATAGTAGCATTATGCTCGCCACGGGGTTCCTCTCCCGGCGATCTTCAAGGACCTTTGTGGCCTTCCTCAGGGCGTCGCTGACACTGGTGCCCTGGCCGCAGACCAGCCGGTCAATGATGCGCCGCGCGGAGCGCTGCCCGCTAGCCGTCATTCTCCTCAGCGGCATAAGCCTCTTGGGACTTGCCGAGAAAGCCACAATGGAAAGCCGATCGGAGGAGCCCAACGACGATATAACTAGGCGCATGGCGCGTTTCAGCATCTGCAACTTGGCACCGGTCATGCTTCCACTAACATCGAGCACTGTGACCAAATCGATTGGCGCACGACGCCCAGGGTCCAGCAGCGCCGACGTCGTATTGCTATTGCGCGCCGAGGATGGAGGAGCCTTCAGCTTCAGTGCCACCACGTAAGTCTCGTGGCTTCGGTCGACAGAGACCACGGCAGCCTCTGGTAGCATTCGAACCTCGACATTTCTCAGGACGCCGGTATTGATTGCCGTTTCATCTGTTTCCTTGTACGAAGACGAACGAATCGGATTCACGAAGAATCCCTGAAACTCATCGATCTCATCATCCACGTCATTTTCTTCTTCGCCCTCGTTCTCGTCTGCTTCCGGTATCGGAACGAACCTCGCACCGGCCGTTGGAGAGAGCAGTGGCTCGTCATCGTCGTAAACTCTTGAATCAGACGGTTTGGATTGCTGATTGTACTTGGTCTTCACGTCACGAGGAGTGATGGATTCTCGCCTCTTCTCCTGCAGCTTATTCACTGCACCGTGAGTTTTGTCTTGTTTATTATCTACTACATCTTCATCTGTTGATTGTAGATTCTTGTGGACGGCCAGCAAAGGTACTTCTCTCCAGTTGGCATTGCAGACGGGGCATACGAGGCTGCCGTGCTTCTTAACGTGGGAAGCTATGCACGGGAAGTGGAAAGCGTGAGAACACTCCGCCGTGAAAATGGCGGTTCTTTGCCCCGACTTCACGCTCTGCAAGCAGATTCCGCAACCATTCTGAAAAGGTCAGAGGAAAAAAAAAGCGATAAAGTCAAATTCTTTCATCATTCCCCCAATCCAGTTAACACGAGCGAATTCTAACTGCGCTTACGCTGACGAAAAGGAAGGAAAGATACAGGAACGAAAACAGATAAAAATAGGAAAAATAATAACAAGAAGGTTGAATTCTTACTCGGGAGAGTCGTAAGCTGGATTTGAAGAGAGCAAATCTGGAAGGCGATCTGGGAGACGACGCGTCCGAAGCATGGAAGAGTCCGGGGCTCTTTGTCGTCGCCGTAGTAGTATTGCATTGGAGTCTGGGGGTGTCGTGCGAAGACGGTGCCGGCACAGTAGCAGGGGCGGTCGTTCGGCAGCGCAAGCTCGGGGTTGAAACGGGTTGAGACTGCAAGCGTGGGGTGGAAGGATTGGATTGAAAGCGCGGCGTCGAAGAAATGGACTTAGAGTGAAGTCGGGGTGTGGAAGGGTTGCTACCGCCGGACAGAAAAAGGCCGAATTTGGTACAGCTTCTGGGGCTTGGGCTGGGACTGGGGCCTCGTTGCTGCTTCTCTGTTGCGACTGTGTTATCTGGGTCTCGAGGGATTGATGTACAGAAGGCTCTCCGCCAACCAGTACCCATTTTTGGAGGTGGGGACTGACTAAACTAAAGAAATAACCGGAGATGCTATTCTTTCTTCCTCTATAATCTTTTATCTATCTGTATATATATAAATAAGTCTGTCTATCGCCCTCTGTTTTTTGCTTTCCTTTTAAGAAAATTAAAAAAAAACAAAAAAAAGAAATTAAAGAAGAAGAGTTTTGTTGTATTCACTCTGTAGTCATAGAAGACAAAAGGGTAGATCGGGTCTAGTAAGAGTAAAGATGAATCAAAAGGAAGAAGACAAGAAAAGGGTGATATCAGATAGATTACAGAGCGCCCTTTTATTTTTCTTTTTTGATCAAAAGAGCCTTTTTTTTTTCTCACCTTGTTATCCCTGTTTCCTCACTCTCGTCTCTCCTCAATGATTTATCTATCTATCGAATCGAATATCCATCCATAGATGATACACCCAAAACCAAAAGGATCGATCACTGCGAGAAAAAAATATATAAATAAAAATGCTTCTCTCTCCCCATCTTTCTTCCTTACTTGAAATCTGCTACTAGCCTACTACTACCATTAGTCTGTTGTGAGACTGTGAGTCTGTGACTGTAGGAGCGAGGCTTTTCGCTCTCTGATGCATATATTTATATTGGTTGAACCGTTGAAAAGATAGCCTGGAATTTGCATGTAACCGACAGGTGTCACTTTGCTTCTTAACTCAACAGGTCAACGGTCTGCTCTGCTCTTCTTCCGTCCCGTCCCACGTTATGGCCACTGACCGGCACTCGACAGCTTGAGTTGAGCCTCATCTCACCGAGTTCGCATCTGCGCCTCACACCACATCTCCATCTTGTATTGAGAACATCTCCCGATAACAAATACGGGAAATGATGAGACATCATCGAGAGATGTTCCCAATATAAGGTGAAGATGTACTGTGGGGGTATTGTGGGGCGCAGATGTAAACTCCATTTCACCAATGATCCTGATTCAATATGATAATCTGCACATAGAGCAACTCTCCTCTAACCACCAGAGCACCATGGTTATATTGAAACGTTCCTTTAAGCTCTCTCTCTCTTGGTTTTTATATATTTTTTTTATTTTTCCGGTAGAGTACTAAGTACCCTTGAGTGAGCTCCTCCTCGGGATGCTGTCTCTCCAGCTCCAGCGTACGCACTTATCTCTTTATCAGTAATTTCGCCATTTATTGCCATATTACTGATAGCGATACGGTATCGTGAGAAAAAATCGAAATCCGCGCTTCGTCTCTTTTCACCACGCAATGCAAGTATGCAAGCAAAGGTAGGGTAAAGAAAAAATGAGTACTAAACCGGTAAACCCAACCAAAGTACCAAATACAACAAGGAGAGATATATCAAATTTCACCCCCTTTTATTTAAATCTCAAAACCGTAATTTGACCTGGACCAAAGGCCACCTGTTCCCGGTTTTAAAGATTGGACCGTCCGGCTGGGCCGAATCTTCCATGGCTTCTTGCCTTCTTGTGGGTTATCGTTTCTGGGGTGGCAGTGGCACTGAAGAGTGAAGACATACGGAGCCAAGGCCAAGATTGTTGTGGCAACATCTCATCTGACGTGAATGGGAACCTACTGCAACTAGTGTCTACAACGATACCGGCTAAGCCGGTGAGTAGTGACAGGCTTAGACAAGCGGTCATGTCCATCCGACTGGCTTGAATCGGTGGACAGTTGTGCCACGTCAGCACAAATTGGCATGTTTGTACGTACGTACCAAGCTTGGCCTTGTTCACGCTGTTCTCGTGACTCATTACCTGTTGCCAACTCGGATCACTTTAATTAGACCGGGTTTGATATAGGTTATTGTTTGCAATATTTTAAATACGGAGCTCGAACCAGAACCACTTTGACCACTGCTTTTTGGGTCAGCAGTTTTATAACTAAACCTGGAAGTGAAACCATTCTAACCATCGGTTTCTGGGTCAATGATTCAATCGTCCAGTTTAAACCGATGGCCTGTTCTAATATAAAAACTAAAAAATAATTAAAACAATAATGGCTAAAATCTGTTAAACGAGTCAAACAAGCTAATGATTCAATCACCTAGGTCAATGGGTCACTAGTCAATTCAGTGGTTTTTTGCTAAAGATTGGGTTCAGGTTAAAACGGAACTGATTGTCTAGATAGTTCCCAGGCTGAAACGGTCCAACCATTCGGAATCGTGGTTTGAAAAACACTAGTCAGCATTTCAATCATCCGGTCTAAACATGATTTTGAACCGTCGTTGACCCAAACAGTCAGACCATTCGGCATGAGAACTGTCTAGGCAATCAGTTCTATTTTATCCCAAACCCAGTCCCTGACCAAAAATCGTTGAGTTGGTCAATGACCCATTGACCCGGGCAGTCGAACCATTGGCCCATTGATCCGTTCAACAGTTTTTTTATTTTTAATATTATTTTTTTAATTTTTGTTGTTAAAATGAACTGTCCATTCAAACCAGACAATCAAACCATCAACCCATAAACCAATGGCTAGAACGATTCTATTTCTGGGTCGTTTTTTAAAACCATGGGTCTAAATGAACAGTCCATTGTAATGTTTAAAAATAAAAAACAACAAAAAAAACGTTGTTTAGATCCAATACACTGATGGTTCGACCACCTATGTCAATGGATTGTTGGCCAGATCAATGGCTTATGGCAAAGGAACGATTCAAAAGTGAAACGGAATTGATTGAATGGTTTTTTAGGCCGACCGGTCCGCCCATCTGAGTCAACAGCAATTGAGAAATCATGGTTTTTCTCTTAATGTGGAGAATATATCAGAAATTCCAAGTGCATTTTAGGGTTTTGTAGAGTTCATAAATCCATGATATATATATATATCAGATTCTTGGGTTTTGCAGAACACTTCTATACGGTTGGAGGTACAGGAGTGCAGGAGGAAGTAAATAGGGTGGAAGTAGGAAAATTACCGAAGTGAAGAGAGAGATGAACGTTGGATTGGGCCGTAGGCAACTCAACTATTTGTCGGTCATTCAATGTGTTTCTGTAAAATATCTTTTAGAATTTAAAAAAGAAATACTATCCTATTCAAGTAAGGTGGTAGACGGTTGTTAATTTTTAAAGCTATCCACTTTTTATCATCTTTGACTTGGATATGTAAAACCATAATGAAAAATCCAATAAGTTAGTAACTTCTATTAGTTCATGTACCTCTTTTAATATTGTAATTTATATCTATAAATGAAAATGTGAAAAATTTATTTGATTAAAATATATCTATTTTACATCTGGTTTTTAAAAAGAAATTATAATTTGAATTACTATTTTTCATCTCATTCAATTCCTTTTCTTTAAGTCTTATATTTAAAGTATTTACTCTCCTTATTTTTTTATTGATTCATGTTGTTGATTAAAATACCCCTACTTTTATTGTATTCTCTCTTTAATTGAAAGGGCAGAAAATGTAATTTGAACTACTACTTCTCACTTCATTCAATTCCCTCTTATTAAATATTATATTTAAGGTACTAATTCCCATTATCTTTTATTGAATTCTAATATTTGTTAAAACACTTATGTTTTTGAAATCAGCTCTCTATAATTGTGAGGGCATAAAAATGTAATTTGAACTATTACTTTCAATTTCATTTGATTCGTTCTCATTAAGTATTACATTTAAGGTATTAATTCCCGTTCTCTCTCATTGAATTCAATATTTAAGTTAAATTTTCTCATCAGTAAATTCTATCAATTAGATCTTTATACAAGAATTTTAACAATATGAAACCCATGTTTTTTAAAACCAACTCAAAAACAAAACATTTTTTATTTCGGTGGTGGATAACTAATTCAACCATTTGAGTCAAATAGGTCAACTTATGATGTCATAATTAAATAATAAAGCTTTTAATATAGAAGTAAATATACAAAAAATTACAAAAACACAAAAAAAAAATCATTTTCCTATTCTATTTGGTGGTGAGTTAACAGTTTAACTTTTTAGGTCGAAATATATCAATTCCTGATGTCATAATTAAGTAATAAAAATTAAAACAGATAAAAGCACAAAAATATTAAAAAATACAATAGTATTATAGAAAACATTTGGATGCATCTCTAATATCATATATTCAACATATTAAACAAAAATAAGTATAATAAATTATTTTAAACACAAAAAATAAAAAAAAAATAATAGAAACGTATTATTATCATCATCTAAAACTTTGACATGCAAAACATATGCACATTTGCTAGTATATAATAAAAGTAGATAAGTGTGCACGACATAACTTCAAGTTCTCCATCCGAATGTAGAGGCATGAGATCAAACCTACATAACTCCAGGTTCTCCATGGCAAGGTTTAAGGATTTATTATCATGCACTTTGACTTGTTCCCACCCCTGAATAATCCCCCATAAAGTGTAATACAGAACACACACAAAAGAAAAAGAAAAGAAAAGAAAAGAAAAGAAAAGCTATAGACATTTCTTTTTGTTCATACATTGCTTAACCCTTCCATTTTTGTATGCTAGTATGCATGTACGTTTTGATAAGAAAATCTCTTTCTCTCTCTCTCTCTCACACACACACACACACACAAAGATGATAAAGGGGGAATATGCAATGCTGACTATGGTTGATGATTTGTTAAGGGATATTAACTCCAAAATAAATGTATAGAAGATAAATTGCTTTTTAGTTAATTGGAATTTGGGGCATAAATAAACCTATTTTGCTTTGTTACCATAGTCTTTCTCCTTCTCACTCACTCATGTAAGTAATTAATTAATGAAGTCTAAGGTTCGAAGTTAACAACTTTAACAAATAAACTTTAAGGGTCCATTTGGTTTGCAATCGGAATTGGAATGATATATTCCCATAGTCTATTTGGTTTAAGCAGAAATGGGAGTGACAATTAAAATCAACAAGAATAAGATTTAATTCCCAAAGAGAAAAAATGTCATTCCAATAGGAATGAGAATGGGCCAAGATTCTAATTCTGCCCAACCAAACAGATGAAATCGGACCCCTATTCCTACGAACTAAATGGGTTCTAAGCTCCCTCTCTCACCACACCTTGTGTAGTCCTGATCTAAACAATTCTTGGCATGCATCTTAATCTATAACCTATATAAAGATCAAACAGATGACATCCTAACTTTACTAGATGTCCAAACTTTAATATACGTACAATATTCTTTTATTTATACAATTTCCATTCTATCTTTATCTCCTACTTTACCGGCCACGACGGTAATCGCTTGTTGTCATGGTCATTTTCATGGCAACGCTTCTCTGCCATCCAATTCCATCTTATGGTCGCCGTTGGTTGGGATTATGGAAAGCCCGACCCTTCCTTTATAGGCTCTAATCAGCTTGGTTTAACGTGCCGGTGCCATTTAATTGTCTGTCTCTGTCCACTGTTACCACTAGTCTTCTCTGTAAGTTTTCAATTTATGTGATTTGACATTAATCAACCCTGTTTACATCACACTCAATAATCCGGTAATCACGTGGTTCGTCCAAAGCCTAACGCCGTTAGATTATATTCTATTAACGTTATTCTCCCTTGGGATTAGAGAAATTAGAAATAGTTAGGGAACCGCGAC